ATATAGCACTCGCTTCTCGTAGGTTGTGCCGTTTTCGAAGCAAGTCGAGGCTTCGTACGATGATAATCACCAGGAAGGTCATAGTTAGGGAAAGAAATAACCTGGAAAGACCACTCTTTGGAGAACGGAGAGAGATCGAAGCTGCCGTTTTCTGAGAGTCTTATATAAGATGGAAACGCATTCGTAACTTGAGAGCAGCAATATCGCGGGATTTAGGAAAACCTTAAACCACCGATAAGGCTTCATTATTTTTCACCACTCGCCTCGTCTTACGAGCACCTTATTCACCTAGCTCAATGGCGGTGCACAAGTGCAAGGTGCGATACATTGCAATTACGGCACGAGAGAATTTACGGCAATTTAATACGCGTAAAGCACGTGATTTCTTATCGCCCCGAGTATGTGTGAGATAAATCTTGGAATCATCGATGAAATGTATAAAAATGATATCGTTGACAAACGAGAGGTTACATACCTTTAACAGGATTGGAAATGATGATACTTTTATGAATTTTTTTTATCATATATGAAGACGTTTCATTTAAAGATCAAGACATACTTCCTTTTTCATATAAATTAAATTGTATTCTTTTATAATGGAATCTTGATATTTATAAGACTGAAATTCTTCTATGGTCTCTCCATAGTTACAGCGTTTGCGGTAACACCGATATCTGATACGTACATTTTCTTTTATTCAATCAAATGAGACAACCATAATAATTGATTAGCTCTTCTAACAAGTGCACAAGTACAATCAAGCATTATAAAAAGGGTTATTATTTTTTTTTTCCGCTGGCGTTATGGCCTACTAATTTTTTAATGCTCATACTTTGGGCTCCAAAAATGTAACGACAGTAATGGCACGGAGTAAACATCGGCATTAAATTAATGTAAAGATATTTTATTTCCATTCCTTTTTCTTGATTAATGTGTTTTCCGAGTAAACTTTCCCTGTCCAATAGCTGGAGCTGATTTGCGCGGAAAATCTTTTTCTGTTCTGTTCAGTACTCAGGCTCGTTAACAGTTTTACTTCTGGCCATTGCCGGAGGTGATACTTTCATCCCATTGTCTGTCTCGTGTTCTCTGATTTCCTGTTGATTGAGAACACATTTTACGTGTACTGTGAATTCCATGAGTCTATGAAGGAGTTACCAAATTATCACCAATAATACCCTGATTGCCGGAAAATACTGCATCACCTAAAAATTAATGTTGTGCATATCTGGTAATTAAATCTATCGTTTAGAACAACGAAAGAACACTCGGATCATATCTCAATAGTTAATTTAACATGACAAAATATGTTCATTTACGAAATCATTAATATTTTCAAATCTACTTATACCTTATTCAATAAAAGTGCTCCTTACGTATTTATCGTAGGATTTATTTCCGTGTAAAAGTCGAACTTCAGGGTATATTTTTAGCCAGGCGAAAACTCCTACAGATCTCTCGAAATGCCAGAAATAATAGACGATAAATGTATCAGGAAAGTGAGTCATTAAATGGTTTCAACGATTCCGTAATGGAGATGAGTCTTTGGAAGTCGAGGAAAGATCTAAGCATCCATCAACGTCCCGAAATGAATTTCCTGTCGACAAACTGAGAACTTTGATTCAATCAAACCGTCGCCTGGCCATTAAGGCAACATTCCCTATGCATCTGTATAAACCATTTTGACCGAAAACTTCGGCACGAAACGATGGCGTTGGCGCAAAGTTCGTTCTAATCAACCGCTAACTTCTAATCAAAAGGAAAGCTACCCTAGTAGCACAAAATATTTCTCCTATATTATCTATATATTTAACGAATATCGTACATTTTGTAAATATTTAGCAGACATTTGAAATATTTGCAAAACCTTTACTTTAGAATATTATCTCTATAATATTTACATAATATTAGCTCTATGTGTTTTCATAATATTTTTCTACCAGATATACAAAACATTTCGTTTCATTTTAATATAAGTATTTTTTAAATATTATCGGCCAAATACATTATAAAAGTTTTAAAAATATTTAAAATCAAAATCGCACGTTTTGCTCCCATAATGAAATAGCGGAACAAAAATGTTAGAAAATTTTCTCGTGTTTTTTTTTTTTTATACCAAATGTCCGATAATAGTTGTGAAGTAAAAAATGTATTTTTATTATGTTCGTAAGTTAAACAATATAATTTCTATATATGTTTATAAATTATTGAAACTAAATATGTCATTGAGATTTTCAAGAAATATTTCAAATATCTTCGAATGAAATCTACAAGAAATCTTAAAAAATTTGTCGCTCGAGATATTTAGCAAAGATTACAAAGAAATATTTAGAAATTATTCTATGCTACTAGGGTAAGTAACGATTGTTTTAATACTGTTGGAAATAATTTAAGCAGGTGACTATCTTAGGTTTTTGTATCAGAATTTAAATTTGAATTTATGGTCCAAAAACGAAAGTATAACTCGAATGACAAAATCTCCAAATATAAAAAAGTTTCGAAAAGACTCGTTGCTTGCATTTTTTTTTGTAGTCAAGATAGGATGTTGATGGGTTGTTTACTTTCAAATTAAATGACTGATTTAATGGTTTCGGTCAAGTGGTTTTAAATCAATTGAAATCATTTTTGCGTGTTCTGTATGATGCCAAGGGATTGCATTAAAACATCAACGATTTCGTGACATTACAATTAGATTTTCTGTGATTTGGGTTTGTGTAAATTAGACACGCCTGCATTATTATTTATTACTGGACTACATTATGTGATTAGATATTGTTTAGTAATCGAAAAATATGATGAGTCTGACTGAAATAACATATTTTCTATTCGCTTTAAATCTTAACATTGGTCAATTAAGATTCAACGAAAAGTAATTGATTTATTTAAAAGAAGTTAAAATGTATGGGGTGAGGTTAAATATTAGATATCAACGAATTATGCTCTCCAAAGAATGTATCTCAAGCAAGAACAGGAAGCTAAAAATTGGAAAGAAAAGACTGTAACTGAAAGCAAAATACTTGAAATTTTGAGAACAGGGTTGATCTCACGGTTTTCTTTTATGCAAGTGAACATTTCAACATAGAGTATATATAACAAAGTTTATACCAAATATAATATAACAACTATAGTATATTTGTCTGAATTCAGGAAATATAGAGATTCAGGATCCCAGAATCAAATTTGCTTGAACGGTGGACCTTTTCGGCTTCACAGCTTTTTCGCCATTCCGGGGTCTCTAAAGTAGAGAAAAGAAAGGAAAATAAAATAAGTAAGAGATGAGATATCGAAAAAGAGACACGGGTTAGTCTTTAGAAATAAATGTTACGTTAGCTGTCTGCTTTCGCTGTAACAAAAGGTAAAATTTGTATCGGCCTCTCAGGGGCTTTTACCGAGTTCACGGTAAAGTACACGGTTCGTGCAATTGCATTTTCTGCATTGCGGGAAAGTGAGTCGGGCGTTTAGGGTTATTTAGTGTGACGTTTAAGGACCAGCGTGTTGCAGGGAAAATAGCGAGATTTTATTAAAAAATAGTCGGTCTTAATAGTAAAACAACGTTTGAAGCGTAAAAATTTGACGGATTAAGTAGTTAACAGACATCAATTGTCTATTTTAATTATCTCCAATTGTCAGTCCCCAAAACGGACCATTGCTCGTTGCTAAACTTATTAAGCAATCGAAGCATGCGTTCTTTTTTTTAAATTAAGCCGCCCGTTATTTACGCCAGAGTTACGAGACTCATATTCGAAAAGGTCGATTTTATTCGAACAGCTTATTACGTACTTTACACATATCTTTGTGTGATGGGCTCGTTAATGTCGGCGGTCGTTTATATAATCCGAACGCATTGTGTGCTCAAAAATATTCCATTACGGGATCAACGAAGCGTTGACTTCTTCAATTCATTAAGCTAAATAAACGTTAAATATACCCAGAGTTTTATTTCCTACGCAATTCATGCAATTGAGTACTGCCACGCATCACAAAAAAAATCACACAGATAGAAGCCGATTAAATGAGCGGTCTCAACATTTTTCTTTAAGAATATTCTTTATACGCAAGCATGGTTTAGCAACGCGTCTTCTCACGACTATCTTCGGTATGAAAAGGTAGCTTTCCTGCGATGGCGAACATAAAAAAACGACGCGGAGTGGAAGCGATACAGAAAAGAGCCTCAAAACGTTCTGGGACGAACAAATGCTCATATTTATACTCGGTGCATGCGCAAAAAGACACATAAACCATGCTTTTCTTACATAAAATACAGGGTGTACCATGGAGACAAGGACTTTTACGCCCCGCGTGCTTGCAATACTCGTCTTCGACTCGTATTGCAAGGTCATGCCGAGTATAAAAAGACCCACTTTGTCTCCTTGGGACAGTAGCGGACACGAGTGCCTTCTACAAATCTTTTTCTTCGGTCTAGTTGTCCAGGGTAACTCGTGGTCGGTGAGCGCGAATTAGACACGCTTGTTCCAGATCTTTCAACGCATATCGAGCGGAAAGCTCAACGCTAAGCGCCGTTCGAAAGAAAATCTGGCGCGTCGGTGCTTTTGGGATTGAACCGCGACCCGAGGGCGCTCTTGAATTCTCGCTTTCGGTACTTTCTCCGGGCGACCCGAATCTCGAGCGGCGCCGACATAAATTCTCGGTGCGTCGAGGTCGGACGTCCGCGGGACCAAATTCGAGCTTTAAGGTGGGCGGGTATGAACGCCGAGGCGAGCTGGCGCGGCAGTGCGGCGTCGGCGTCGGCGGCGTCGGCGGAAGTGCCGCCGGTGGCGGCGACTCGGCGAAGAGATCGCGGAGGAGCGAATTAGCGGTCATCCAGGTGTCCGCAATGCAAGCTCCCGCGTGAGCGCGGGAGTGGGGGAGGGGGCGTGTCCGTTACCCCCACCACTGACGCCGGTCTGGCCCGTGATTGGTCAGGGGACCTCGTGACGTCATCGCGATGCCGGCCTATGTATAGGTTGGAGCACGCGGAGCTTCAGTCTGCCCCTGCCTGTCACGCCGGCTCGTTTGGCTTGCACCACGGTCACAGGGCGCCTGTCGTTACACCCCTTAGCGCCGCCGACTTCCGACCTTAACCTCACCCATTGCGACTCCGATCGAGTAAGGACCTCGCGCCGGCACGACTTTAAGGTACGCGGACCTTCGCCAACCTTACGTTTTCATGTATTTACATTGGGAGACTGCCTCTCGTCAGGTTTCTACGCGGTTGGCAATCGTCTAGCCGGTTTAAAGATAGGTTTCAGTGGTTTTTAATTCTTTTAATCGGATCGGAACTTTGAATTGTATACGTTTTGATTAAGGACGTCGGAGGGTAGTTGCTGGCTTTTTTAGCATTTTAAATGTTCCGATGGAGTATATTGGGGGAGCTATGGCATTTTTAAGGTTTCATCTTGTTATACGTATTGTTCTATGATGGGATGGGATAAGGCTGACAATGAGTATTTTAATTAATGTTGAAATAGATGACAGGGACAGAGTAAGGCTGTTGAGAGGCAATCTCTTTTTTATTTTCAGAATCACATTCTAGTTGAATGGTCACAAAATGCAAGATAGGGTATCGATAATAATTGGAACATTGAGAAAAGATGTTCCAATGATTGGGGTTAAGAAATCGAGATTTTATATTGGGAAAGTCTGAACTAGAATCGCATGTTTTCCTGAGTCGACCGTAGTCCCATAGAAGCTTTGAGTAGATAAATACGTTGCCGAAACTGTTTACTTTAACTACGCGTATTATGACTCCATTCCAGTATTGAAATCGACCCGACTTCAAAATAGGTATACTACGTATACAATACTCGCATAAGCAATTTTTAATTGAAAAATACTCTAGGCGAATGATCCCATGAATTAAATCGTAATCTTGCGAAGACGTGCATATGTAATAACATATTTCGAAGCCAGGCCGACTTCATTACTGAGACTATTACTCATTTGCTCAAATTCGAGATTAGGGAAAATCGATAAAAACCTGCTTTGAAATCAAAATAGAGACACGATTTCGGTTGCGTACCAAAGTAATGTATTGGGGCAATTTATAATATCTGTCTACAAAAAAAAATAATACATCGCTCGAAAATTTCCGACGTAGAAGGTATTTTCTAAGAGACTTAGAGACATGAATGAAATCCCGTTCTGAAACTGGCAACTGTAGCAATTGTCTTTTAAACTTCTTTCAGAAGTGTTACCAGAGTGTACCGTACTTCTGTAAACATCGAAATGTCATATGCATGATTCACTTTAGATATTAATTTGTATGACCCACTTTAAAACATGAAAATGCAGCGTCAAATGGACGGTACTCCCACGCGATGCGACATTTTTTAATTTCATCGTTTGGATCATTGACCAATTGTTGTCCAATCTGTTACGCCTTTAAAACCTGCTTTTTTATTGTTTCCCCACTCACTGTTTTTTTTTTTAATCTACCATCAGTAGTCCAATGTTGAAATTGTTTCAATCTCCATGGGCTTCATTATGTAGAAGTTTTTCTAATTTTACGAAATAACATCGGTGTTATGAGTTGCAATAGTTTGCCCATTTCAGAGTCGCTATACACGGATTTTAATCAGAATCCATTTTCAGTTCATTTCAGCGAACTACGCGTCGAGTCGGTCTGATTTTAACGCAGGAAATCCACTTCGCTGCTACTTATACAGTTCGATTTTGTGGCGGACTATTTCCACTTGGAATATTAAACACGTACTATCGGACTATTATCAGATTATACGAGTAATTTATGCAAAGTAATTACCACATCGCTAGATGAATTGAATATTTGAGATTCATTCCAACTTCACCACATCAACCATGAAAGCAAATCTTTCACTTATAATCAGTAAAACAACAGCAACTGTTGCTGAATATTTCTTATTTTCGAGTCCCCCAAATAAAATATAGAAGGATACATTGCGCAGTTATTATAGATTACAAAGGTGATTCTTATGAACACCTCTTTTAATTTTTAGGCATCTACTTCTTGAAGAAAAATCCGATTAAGCGTTTTAATATAACGATGATCCATCCGACAACAGCCTACATACTTTTTTATAATATTATCATGCTTGTCATTTGACAACAAGCCCAAAAAAGGAAAAAATGTATAAATAAATCTGTCTAATTTTACTTTAATGTATAATAGTTCGTGTCCAAAGCTCTATCTCCAAATATTTATTTTCATGTTTCATTCATTATCAACTCGTGCAATGGAGAATTAAATTGACATCGGTAACCACGATTTTGTCACTTGGAAGTAATTGGCATTAAGCCAAAATGAATTGAAACGGAATTTGGATGAAGTAGCCACTCGACTCGTCGCTTAGATCGAATAAAAAGCCGAGCTCGGTTTGCGTCGCAAATTGCCGGGATAAACATTTCAGCTCTGATTGTGCGTTTGCGAGCTGGAAAGACTCCCTGAAAAAAAAAAAAAAGAAAGAAATGGGTAGAGGACCTCCGAGAGTACATGCTGCAGTTATGGGGTGTCATATATTATGCTTAAGCGCCACCACTTTCGACCTTAATTTAACCTTCCTCGCTAAAAACCTTGGACTGGTTCGGCTTTAAAGCTTGCAAGCCACGCCAACATCGGGCATATGCTTGCCTTTCTGGTGCATCTTCCTTGCTATAAAGTGCCGGAAAAAGTACTGCGAAGTGCTTTTAAACTGTAACGGCACGTATGCTCGATATCGCGCCGAAATGACCAGGAGAGAAATGTTTCTTTCCAGTTTCTTTTCCTTTTAACTCGTTGACAAATTTTCAGTTTTTTTGCCTGAATCAGTTTTAGTGCCCAAGGCTTTATTTAATTAATAATGCTCGATATCGCGCCGAAATGACCAGGAGAGAAATGTTTCTTTCTAGTTTTTTTTTCTTTTAACTCGTTGACAAGTTTTCAGTTATTTTGCCTCAATCAGTTTTGGTGCCCAAGGCTTTATTTAATTAATAATGCTCGATATTGCGCCGAAATGACCAGGAGAGAAATGCTTCTTTCTAGTTTCTTTTTCTTTTAACTCGTTGACAAATTTTCAGTTATTTTCCCTGAATCAGTTTTGGTGCCCAAGGCTTTATTTAATTAATAATGCTCGATATCGCGCCGAAATGACCAGGAGAGAAATGTTTCTTTCTAGTTTCTTTTCCTTTTAACTCGTTGCGAAATTTTCAGTTATTTTGCCTGAATCAGTTTTGGTGCCCAAGGCTTTATTTAATTCGTGTTATCGTAAAAGGAATTGCTAATTCATGGTGTTCAGTTTTTTATTTATTTTTTTTATTTAGTCTCTGGTAATATACCGAGTTCCTTTTGTTTTGTTTTTTTTTCTTACAGTGAAAGTTATTTCCCTTCCTTCGTAATCGACGGTTCATTTTCCATTTGCAGCATTGCGAATTCTAGTATGATTATTTTTACACTATTGGTTGTTTATTTTCTTTTTTTAAAGCCCTTGTATCCATTTCAATGCGATTCTGTAAAGAAATGAATCGGGAGGAAAATATTAAATACACCCCTGCTTTTTGTACACGTCTGTAAAATCATGTAAACTTGCTTTGAATCCATCGTATATGATTTAATGAATGCTTCTTAATGTTAAAACGTTATTATTTAGATAGATATATTACACAGATAGGTATTAACGGAATGGGACGTCAGAATTCAACAGGTGCGATATACAAAAATTAACGATAATATAGATTAAAGATAAAAAGTCATTGACGTTAAAGATAGATTATGATTTCAATAACCACGAATTTTAACTAAAAATTGTGTTATTAGAGCATTTTTAAGGCTTCTTTTTGATTAACTTTAAAGCAAATGGCGGCAATAAATTCGTCGCATGTAATGTTATTAAAGGTTAATATCAGGCTTGATGAAAAAAATTGCTTGAAAAGAATTTGTTGATATTTGATAGGACCGATAACGATATTAACTGATAGCGCGGTAATAATACTTCAGGTGTCACGATAATGGTGACATAAGAATTTATAGCCATATTAAAGCTTAGCAAAATATGTGTGCAGCATATTAAAGATTACGTGGATTTTGAAGGTTTGATGTTAATACCGTTCTCAATAGATGTGACTTAATTAATTTATTAAGTCAGGTAAGAGCTCACCTTCGACCTGTTACTTTTTTGAGATCAAGTTCAGATTTAATTTAATATCGTTATCAAATTAAACCAATGGAATTGATTATCGCAGCGTGTACGTCAATTCAAAAAATTCCTTTGACGGCCGACATTTCATTTCAAATGCGATTGAAAATTCTCCTTTAAGTAATCTGACCTTTAAAAGCTTCTTTACAAATATAGGTCCCCCGGTGTCCTTCCATCCCTTTGAGTATTGTTCGGAAAGAAATGAAAAGAAAGCATTAAGTGTATTAGTTACTTAAATTCAATGATACTTGGAATAAACGGAACGGAACGGGATTGGCAAAACTTTGAGAAATGGCATTAAGCTTTTTGGGAAAGTTAAAAAGCTGTTGTTTGTGAGCACTGCAGGCTGAGTCGAAAACTTTCAGGTTTCCGTCTTCCTATCGTTGTCATACTTTTCGTTTCGATGGAAAGGAACCTGACTTTTAACTCGATAATGTCTATCGGCGTAAGGAAAAAAAGTCCGACGCTTAGTAAAAGCATGAGAAAAATCCCATAAATTATTTCGCAGGAAACGTGCTAAACCTGAGTGGAGTAACATTTAGAGTAGTCGGTAGAATAATTGGCACCTTATCTAAAAATAATTATATTAACACATTGTCGGCCGCTGTTACGTACGCATGACTTTTTTTCACGTAAGCGTGATACGCACCGGCGGCAACCCAAAGGCGATGAGAAAAATGTGCGGCCGTCAAAGTGTTGGGAAAGCTCTGAAATAATAATATTTAATTAAAAAAAAAATAAAAATAAATAAATTTAATTAAAATTAAAGAAAGTAGCTAATCGTTGTAGGGTGATTTTCTCCAGGAGTCGTCCCGGGTTAGAGTTGAGAACTTAGAAAACGCTATCGTTACAAATACGGAAAGGTGGTTTTTCGCAAGGTGGGTAGGTAAGCTGCCTCCGTATCCCTCTTTTCATGGTCGGAGCTGCTTAGAGTTAAACGCGGCATGTTGAAAAAGAGAAATGGAGAAAGTGGTCCCGTGGCATCGGCAT